GCCCGCCACGCCCTGTCACTAAGCCTCTCTAGGAATCATGCACATGCCACCCTCGGCCGCTCCTCAAAGGGCGCACCGAATAGCGGTTCACCCCCTCGATGGGCTAAAAACTACCGTAGGTAAGTAGGGATATGGAGCTTAAAATGCTCCCACGGCCCATTAAGGCCCAGGAGTTCGAAGGTTGGACCACCGACGGGTTCACAACCGCTCCAGGGCACCTTTAGAGTGAGGGGTGGAACGGGATCAGCCCGCTAGCGGCCAGTACCAGGCGCATGAGCGTCGTGGGCATCCTGGCCCATGTTCGAGTCTTACAGGAGCACGGTCCATGATTTTTTCTCAAAGAAAGGTAATGAGCCCTCGGGACTGGTTGTTAGGAACCTAGAGTCGGTCACCAGCTGACCCATGCCGGACCCCCATGAACAGGAAGCTGGGGCCCCACTCGACTTGTCCGTTAACAACTCACCGAGCACCATAGTTCATCCATCGAGGAAAACATGGCATGGCTCAGCCCCTTTGTTTTATCGAAAAAATGCTTGAGGGTGGACGACCTTAAGATGAGCTGACCCCTTGACTAGACCCTTGCTGCGCATAGGGGCTCGAGAGTTGGACTCGCAAGGAGACCGAATACGCGGTCGCATAACAATGGCGGATCGATCGGATCCTAGGGAGGAATTAGAATCAAGAGAGACCTTCTCTGATCCCCAAATTGGGCAGCTACATGCTCCCGAGGAGTCCGAACACGATGGAAAGGAATCTCGACCAAACCAAGACATCCCATGGCCCGCAAAGGGAGATCAAGATCCCTAGAATCCTTCCATCCAAAAAAGCCTTCGAAGGAGTATCCTACTCCTCCGCAGGCTCGGGGCTACTATCGGGTATCAGTATCAGGGATCACCGGAAGAAGGAAGCTACTGGCCACGAATGCTAACACCCTCGGATGGTCAAGAGCGTATCTTGGTCTTGCCCGGCCCCGAGGGCATGGGCTCCGTCTCGCCCGACCTTAGAGATACGGGATCTAGGTCACTAGACCCCAAGGGCGCAGGATCTGTCTCACCCGACCCTAAGGGCGAGAGCCTCATCACGCCCGACCCCAAGGGCGTGGACTCTGCCTCACCCGATCCCAAGAGCACGGGCTCCGCCTCGCCCGACCCCGAGGACGCAGGCTTCGCCTCGCCCGACAGAGGTCCGTACCGCCCCAACCACAATGGGTCTAAAAGTACGAGTCTAGGGTCAAACTTTAGACGCCAGAATGGGAGCAAGCGCGTCTTGACGTGACCCACAGCCACGACAGGCCACGTCTGAGGACGCACGTCGCCAACACATCGGGCGTGCCAGCGCTGTGCTATATACTCCCCGTACGGCCTCTAGTGGAGGCGTCAGCGAGCCATACCGTCCGCTAGGACGGGATAGAGCGCCACGACCGGTTGACGACGCTTGCGTACGGCGCCAGTGAGGAATAGGGCCACGACGAGGAGCCATCCCCATCGTCATCTAGAGGGTCGGCGGGACCCGCGTAAAGGAGTTGGAAGACGTTGCAATCCCAGTAGCCTTCTTCTCCTCGTCTCTCTTCCGCTCTCCGATGTAACCTACATCTCCCCCTTCATCTGTAAAAGAGAAAGCAGGGCACTCCACGGAGAGGGCATTCACACACATCTAACACGTCTGAGCGGCTAAAGGCTTAGGCACCCGACATTAGACATAGAGCTCAACCAGACTCACCCATTTCACCAGAGACTTGGGACCTTCTTTCTCTCTCGCCTGTTTGTAACCCCTACTACAAACCAAGTGCCGATAACACGAGCAGCAGCAGACTGGACATAGGGCCGTTCTGCCTGAACTAGTATAAATTCTTGTGTCTTCCGAGCACAGCCATCCGGATCAGACGCGTAAACTAGAAATTTACTAGCCGGTGATTCAAAACTACGCATATTTAGGGATGGAGGGAGTACTACACGACTAGCATGCAAATGCTTATCGCCCTATTCGCTAGGCTTATAAGCCGTAGTTTTTCAGCCAACGAATAAATTTTTTCTCACAACAAATCAGCTAACAGTGCTTTCAGCCATGACTTATCAGCCAAGCGAACATGGCATTTATGTGTGCTGCCCGAGGCAATGCCATGACAAGTTACAAAGCCTCGCATTGGCTAGAGGATAAAGAGCTGGCATATATACATATACTTCTTGTGTTATCTCCACCCTCGGGGGCACGTGAAATGATTAAACTAATAAAGTCTATAAAAATAGTATTTATTGCCTCCATGCTGGATTCCAAGGGAGATATCTCTACCTAATGCCGAAGCACAAGCAAATGAGGGGCGGTAAATATCTGATGGGGCTAATTGGCCCTTCCGACCTCTGTCGGCCCACAAAGGGGCAACGTGGATCCAGAAGGGAGCACTAATCGGCAACCAAAACGCCGTCTCAAGGATATCGGCTTTTGAATAGCCGATAAGTATGTAGTCGGCTTTCTAGTGGCCGATAGACATCTATTCTTACAATTTTCATATAACAGTATTCAGATCTATAATTATTTATTTAAATAATATTCTTTTTAAAAAAATTCTCTGGTTTTTTCTAGAGTCCGATCGTACCAGTCTTCCCGTCGTAGCATTGTTTATTTGGGTCTGCCGGTGTGGCGTGGAAACATTTTAGGTGACAAATCTATCGTGTACGAGTCTAATCGTATTTTTATACCAGGAAAATATTTTAGATTTTTTTTCCGGTAGTGTTTTTTTCTCTGGTCCGGCCTTCGTAGTCCCAGAATCTATGTGTACTAGTCCGATAGTATTTTTTTACAGGAGATTTGTTTAGATTTCTTCCATCCGTTTTTTTTTCCTTCCCGTGGTAGTATTTTATTTATTTTGGGTCTGCCGATGGTGTATTTTAGAATTTTTTTTTGCCGGTAGAGTTTTTTCCCTGGTCCGGTCTTCCCGTGGTAGTTTTTTTTTGCCGGTAGTTTTTTCGGTCCGCCGGTGGACGATTCCTGTGCAAACGTGGCATAGAGAATAGAAGAGGTATATAAGGGCAACTCCAACCAAGTTCTCATCTAAACTCCTATCCTTTTTTTTTTTTGGCTCGGGACTTAAAAACACAGCTCCAACCGAAGCCTCATCCGGCCCGATGGATGAGGGACTCTCATTTCTCTCTTCTAAACCTCGAGATGTAGAAGCTCCTCATCCTCTCCCTACTCCTTTCTCTCTTCTTACAAAGCTGACAAATGGGGCTAATAAGTGAGACACATGACAATATAGTGTAAAGTAGAAAAGTTTTAGGAGATCAGTTAGAGTGTGCTGAGATATAAAAGCTTGAAATAGATGAGGGACTCATTTCAGAAGATAGGGGGCCAAAATTTGAGGGATAGGTTGGAGTTGCCCTAATAGCTTTAGACATCATCATCTACTAAAGATGTAAAATTGTTAAGGCCAGTTTGGCACAACTCTTCCACAAATGCTCTTCTGAGCCGGAGCTCCTTAAAATGGATCTAGCTACACTACTATTTACCAAAAAGCGGATTCTACTCCTAAAGTGTTTGGTGTGTCTCCTCTGCATAAGTCGCTCCTGAAACCGGAGCCATCCCAAATAAGCCCTTATTGTCATGCTTAAAACATAGTACTCGCTAATTGCCCTTGCGATGCAACGACATTCAAGCCCAATGATTCACTTTTCACAACAAACACATCAACTAACGCGTGGTAGAACTTCAAACCAACTCTCAACTGCTTTGACTCCAACTCTAAGCGCATTTACGAGTGACAATAAGGGATGACAATCCTTCTCGCCTGACAATTTACGAGTGTGAGTACAAAATCTCACTCTATGTGTGCATATACGTGCATAAAATTATATCTACGAGTACGAGTGTGGGTATATCTCACTTCAATTGTTTACGCTTGAAACAGGGAATCCATATATTGTAATAACAATCTAAATTATGAGGCTATTCTTCACGGGAGGGGTATTCCATTCATGTGAATACCAGCGTACATCTTTACATCTTGTTAGTGGCGAAGCTAGGACAAACTAGAAAGTGTGCATTTGTCTTGTCAGTGCATAAACATGTTACATAAGGGATGCATATATGGTGGAATTTAACAAACAACTTTTTATATTTTTTAAGGTGCATTTGCACCCCCTAAACACAGTGTAGCTTCGCCACTGCATCTTTTTGTTGTGAAAACTAATTTCTAATACCTAGACAGCATGATCATCACTTGTCACTTTAAAATAAACGTAGAGCTACAACAAATGTTTAAATGAGAATTTTGGGTCCTCAAAATGCAAGAAATTAATTAGAACACGACCGGTGACATGTTTGGATTTCATGCTCGGCTGCCTCCTTACTTGTGCTACCGAGATTCTCCCTTGCTAGTTCTGACTATAGTTATTTAGACCGGACCGGATCGGCAGTCGGACCGCTAAAAGACCGAACCAGAGCCTACACCGGTCCAATTCACTTATAAGACCGTCCATGCAATCGAACTGCTAAAAACCGGTTGAACCGGCCGTTTTTTTACAGAATGGGTGAACCGGCCGGTTCCTTATGAACCAGGACGGTTTTTTAGCTTATCCAAAAATACCCTCTGCGTGCTCAGGATAACGTTATCTGTTCAGGGGTACGATTGGAAAACTCTCCGAATGTGTCCTTTGCCGCGTGAGGGAGGTAAATTTTGCCCTTTTTCAGCCGGCGGCGGCGCATCCAGGCTCCACTGCTCGTCTGCTCCAACTGCGGCGGAGCATCACCTTCAGGCGGTGTCGGTTGCCGGCTGCGGTGCGGGGGGCTGGACGTCGGCGTGCTACGGTGCGGCGGGCTGGGCGTCCACGTGTTGCGGCAACCGGCGAGTGCGGCCAGGGGCGGCGGCCTGAGGTTGCGTCCAGGGACGGCTGATGCTGACGCTAGGCAGCTAGGCCTGGGCGGCGGCGGCAGGTGGTGTTGCTGCGGCTAGTGCCCAGGGGACGGCTGCTGCTCTGTTGTCTGCTCTGCTCCACGCCTCCACCTCCATGGGCATGGGCCACGGGGGACGGCTGGTGCTCTGTTGGCTGCTCTGCTCCACCTCCACGAGGACGACTGCTGCTCTGTCTGCTTCTGCTATGCTCCACGAGAACATGGCTAATGGTGAGCTACTGGACGAAGATGAATCTTATGTTATCACGCACCTAAGTTTTCAGTTTAAGATCATGTTATTCTATATTTCCATGATGTATGAAGTATAAATGCTATGGTTGTCCAATTTAATTGTGTTGTTTATGAGATTATTCCAACTATAAATTATTAATTATAGTATATATATTGTGGTTCAAGGTATTTGTGGCTGGTTTTAACTAGTTCAAAACAATTGAACTGATGGTTTAACCGGTTCAACCGGTTGTTGGAACGGTTGGACCAATGAACCAGTGAACCGACGACTTCACCAATTCGATCTCCGGTATGGTCATAGTAACTATGGTTCCGACCTCCGAGCGAGCCAATTTGGCTTGGAATTGCTGGGTGATCAAGGACAACGAAGCTTGTCAAATTCCACGAAGTGGCATGGCGCGCAGCCTAGCTCGCCCAAGTATTGATTTTTGAATTGCAATCGAGAAGTCAGTACGCTTTCCCTATAGTGATGGCGCATTGGAAACCCGTCTCGTCTCACCACCTGCATCTCCATTCTCCACTCCCACTCCCACTCCCACTCCACCGGCCCCCACCTCCGCTACGCCGCGACCCGAGAACACCACCAATAGGATGGAAACGGTACGGATATTTTTCGACCGTATTCGAGTCCGAATCCGTTTAGAGGGGTTCAGATCTGTCCGTATCCGAGTCCGGATATTCAATATCCGATACCGTATCCGTATCCGAATACTCAAATCACATATTTATGATGTCGGCGTCTAATCGTATCCTATCCGATATGGCTGATACTGTTCGTATTTGAATCCGAATCCAACAATCAAATATCAGTGATATCCGTTCGTCCTAGCCACCACCACACCTGCCATGTGGCGCCGCCTCCAAACCCTAGCCCCCTCGCTCCGTCGCGCCGCCGCATCGTCGTCCCCGGCCTCCGCCCGCGCCGCGCCCCTCTCCATGGCGCCGGCGGCCGCGTTCCGGCGCACGTCGCCCCTCCTCTCCTCTCCTCTCCCTGTAAGCCTCCGTCCTGTACCGGCCCTCGGATCTCCGGCAACAGTTAGTTCCTTGCTCCTCCGAGCCGATCGGATTGTTCTGACGGATCGGTGGTCTGTGTCCGCGCGCAGGCGACAAGCCGGCGCCCACCAAGGTCGAGGATGTCATGCCGATCGCCACGGGGCTGGAGCGCGAGGAGCTCGAGGCGGAGCTTCAGGTGAGGGGTCACTTTGGGTTCGGAATCTCCCCGTGATTCCGGCGGTATTTGACGTGGGTTTCGATGCGTTTTCTCCAGGGGAAGAAGTGGTTCGACATGGATCCTCCCGTCGGCCCCTTCGGTACTAAGGTGAGGTGCCTGGCTGCCTTCTGCCCTGCGATTTAGCTGACTCTGTGAGATCAGATCACGCCAGCTGTTTGGTGTGGTGTAGAAAAATGTGCACGGTAGTTTCTTCCTCAGGCTGAGTTCTGTTAGGATCGTGTGATTCGATAATTAGAGGCGCTTTTAGAATTGCCCGCAGAGTACCAACTAGGCAACTACCAACTCCAAACCCTGTTCTGCAATAGCTCAATAGAAGGCAGTGCTGTCTGCTGTGAAACTGTCAGTGTGTCATTGCTGTGGACAGACCTCCACACCGCATTTCAATAGTCCTGACAAAAAAAAACACTTGTTATGTCCATGGCTAGTGTTCACCTGATCCAAAAGGTGGCCTTTGATTAGTTGAACGTGTTGCAGTCGTTGATTATTACTTTCTGTTCTACAAGAGCACAAATCGTCATCATGTTAGAGGCCCCAGTGTTCGATGTTGACCAGTCTGCTCATTGGTCATCATCTACATTAAAGTCCGTGGTTTCTTTTAACTTTTTAAATGATGGGCCCAAGATACCTAACAAATTCTGAGTCACTGATAGTATCTGTTCCTACGGATTGACTTATTGACAGAACTCTTTCGTGTATGTTATGTGGAAACTTGACAGTTTTAGTGTTGTATGACTCATTTGTCAATTGCTGTGTCCAGTTTAGCTAAACCCATAGTTAGGTCTGCTAGTGTTTATATGTTGTTCGATTTTTACATGCTACTGTGCTTTGATTTTGGAGGAACTAGATCCTCTTTGGTATTGAATTTACATAGGAAAATGCCGCAGTCTGCATCAACTTGTGCTAAGTGCAACTTATGACACATCATTTCACTCCAGTATGGGCATGGTTGTAAGTAGAAAAAATGACTCCAACAGATACATCACTTGTTACTAATATTAATATCGTCAATTATAAAGTATTTGATATGTTAGCATGCTTAAGCTGCATTACCTGAAGTTTGTTCTAAGTACACCCTCAGTCAGCCAGCCATACATGACTTGCTGTCACTTGGGAGCGTTGCATTAGAAATCAGTTTTTGATATGCCAGGGGTTCTTCTGTTCTTTAATCCTAGGCACGGGCTCCTATCCATACTGAGTACTGACATTGTCTGTATATTAGTCTAGGTAGATGTGGAAGTTCTTGATCACTCCCTCCCCTTCTTTTTTTATTTTTTCTTATCAGACATTCTATGCTGCAAGATTGCTCAATTGTTCTGGACAATATATAGTAGGGAAAATTGGTTGTGTAGCATCGAAAGATCGCGATCTCCGTAAAATACCACTGAAAGTTTACACCCCTGTGAAATAGCACCGAAAGGATCCACCGTGAACTGGAAGTACCATTCCGTCAAATTTTGCATACAGAAACGTTAACCTAAGCTAAAACCCAGACATGAAATTATATATTTGCCCTTACCTTATCCTATCTCACCCATCTGAGACAGGAAGGCACTCGAGCCGCTTTGGTTCTCACCTTTCAAGACGCTGCATTACACCCTTCCGCCGCCCACCATGGGTTCCAAAGACAGTCGGGGCATTGCCTCTGCCAATCACCACAGGTGCCCGCCCCATCCGCCGGCCGCATCACATGGTGCCCTCGCCTCAACCACCACCACGCCAGTGTCTTGTGGCGCCTCACCAGCCGCCAGCGCCAGCCCATGCACCCTCCGCCAGAAGCCACCGGGCGCCCTGCATGCGCGCCTCCTCCAGTCACCGACATCCTCACACGGCGCGCACTCCACCAGTCAGCCGCAGATCATCCCTCGCCACCACCTCCGCTGGCCGCCAGATGCCCCTCCACACTCGACTACGCAATGCATGAATTTGAGATTCCCGATGGGTAAGAACGAAACCTTAGCTATCTACTGCATCTCGTAGCAGAACTGAAATTAGTTGCGGCATGCGATTGTTTGTGACATCCGGTTCATTTGTGTGTGCGATCTGGTATGAGGATGGTCAGTGATGAGAAAGGACTTTTGGAAGCAGTGCTAATTTGTTTGCACTGCTACTATTTTCAGGATCGATCCGACCAATGCTTGTAGAGTAGTGATTGATGTTTCGTCCCTACTCAACTGTTGAGAGGATGATCGATCCGTAGTACACAAAAAGGGCAGACGCTTGAATTGGTGGGTGGATGCAGAAGAGTACTCCATCATTGACATGGAGAAAGATGTTTTCAAGCACTTTAGTTGGGCTAGCTATCAGGAAGCAAACTTCTGGTTTGTGAGTCAGAATAATCTAACAGTTCGCCTTGGTACTGACCAAGAGCTTCTAACTTTGCTGCGAGCTTCAAAATTGGTGGATTTTATCACGACTGTTGATAGATGTGAGCATGTTGATATGGCTTGTACTGTGCCTGAAATGGAGAATGAAAGACAAGTGCCAAATGAAGAGAATGACCTATAGCTTCAGGTCACAAAAATGTTTCTTGGGGATGCATGTGAGTGTAGAATTGGATGGTCTAGAATGGGCCTTGCAACCGCAACTTGGTGTTACAGCTGCTGGTCCTTCCAGAGTAGAGGAGGAGGAGGGTGACCATTATATGGAGCCCGGTGTTGACCATGAGGGAGATGATCCAGTTGGAGCTGATGAAGAGTGGAGGCATTTCAATAAGGTACATGAAGTAGGAAGTAATGAGAAAGTGCATCAAGAAAAGAAGAAAATGGACAACATCAAATTTGTAATTGAAGACATAGATCCTGAGGCCGCACCAAGCGATGAAGCCACCATGTTGCGGGATGCTCCGTATATTCCACTCACTACATACGACAGAGACAACCCTGATATAAAGGAAGGTTCAACATTTACTGATAAAAAGGCCTTTATACTGATGATCAAGCAATATACCATAAAAAGGGAGTTTCAAACATTTGTAGAGCATAGTGATAAATCAAGATATAGGGCACGATGTGCAAATTCAGAGTGTGGATGGAAAGTTCATGCAAAGAAACTTCGTGGTTGCCCCACTTTAATGGTATACTAATTTCATACTATACAATTGTTTTTTTCATGTTCTGTCAATAATTTCAGACTATGCAATTATGTTTTTTCATGTTCTATCAATAATTTTAGACTATGCAATTGTTTTTTTCATGTTCTTTCAATAATTTCAGACTATGCAATTGTTTTTGTTCATGTTCTATCAATAATTCAGATCCCGTATTTAAACACTATATTCAGATCCCATATTGTCTATTTTTTTCATGTTGTGTCAATAGGTTCTAGACATACTTGTGCTAGCACCAGCCAAGTGAGGGGTAAGGAGGCTAGCAAAGCGTGGATAGCAAACGGAGCAACAGAGATACTCAAGTGTACTCTAGAGTTGGGAGCAAAGAAGTTGCAAGTTGAGCTTGAAAGACAGTTCCCGATCAAAATGTCATATAATAAGGTGTGGGAAGGAAGGCAACTTGCACTAAAAGGCCTACATGGCACTTGGGACGAAAGTTTTAAAATGTTATGGAGTTTCAAAGCTGAGTTAGAAGATACATGTCCTGGAAGCATAGTAGAGATTGATTGCAAGAAGAACAAAAAGGATGGTCGAGTCTATTTCTTTAGGATGTTTGTGGCCATCAAAGCATGTGTGAATGGATTTCTTGCTGGTTGTAGGCCATACCTTGGGGTTGATTCTACTCACCTCATAGGTAAATATAATGGACAGCTAGCTGCAGCAACAACAATTGATGGACATAATTGGATATACCCGGTGGCATATGGAATTTTTTACAAGGAGACAAAAGCTGATTGGACATGGTTTCTGAAGCAATTGAAGAGAACAATTGGAACTCCACATGGACTCACAATACACACAGATGCTTGCAGAGGCTTAGAGAAATCAGTCCATAATGTCTTCCAAGGTGACGTTGAGCATAGGGAGTGTTTTAGGCACCTCATGCATAATTTTAGAAAGCACTTCGATGGAGATGTGCTAAAGTACATGTGGCCTTGTGCTTGGGCATGTAGTACTAGGAGGTATCAATGGCTTTGGGATAAAATTGGAGAGAATTGTCTAGCAACAATTCCTTACTTGCAAGCAGAGCACAAACATCTTTGATCTCGAGCTAAGTTCTCAGGGGAGTACAAGGTTGATTATGTGAACAACAACATATCAGAGTCCTTCAACAACTGAATTAAAGAGACCAAAGGGTTCCCAGTGGATATCCTCGTGGACACAATTAGGGGTACGATCATGAAAAAGATAGCTATGAGGCAGCTTATAGCTAACAAACTTGAAGGGTCAGTTCTCCCTAGTGTTATAAATAAGCTGAAGATGAAGAGTAGAAACTTGAAGTACACAATTCAGGGGAGTGGTGGTCTCAAGGCTGAGATATCTGGATTGACTAAAGACAACTATCATTGGAGGCATGCTGTGGACCTTGAAAGCAAGACATGTTCATGTGGTCAATGGAATATTTCTAGGAAACCTTGCACTCATGTTATAGTATTTATAGGTTTCCTTAGACAAATTAAACTTGAGGACTTTGTTCATGATTACTACTCAGTTCAGCGTTTCGAGGCTACTTATCAGTTTGGGGTCAACCCAGTGGTTGACAAGTCACAGTGGCCTATTGTTGATCCCGGGTTTGTAATGGTGCCTCCGAAGTTTGAAAGGTCTGCAGGTAGGCCAAGAGTGAAGAGGATCAAAAGTAAGGGTGAGTCAGGAAAAAGGGGTCCTTACCAATGCAAAAGATGCTTTCAGTTTGGGCATATTGAGAAGGGTTGTAGTGAGCCGCCTATTGAACTCGTTGTTGAATTGCCACCGGCAGCTCCTACTAATTCAAGGTAAATTGACCCCCTGTACTTTTGCTGTAACATGATCTTTTATTAAATATGGCTGATACCTTCCTGATGTGTAGGAAAAGAAAAGAAAAGGGCAGTACATCTAGATGCAAAAAGCTCCAAAAAAATCTAAGAAAGTATCTGCACCTTCTACTTCCTTAAGTCACACAACCACCTGTTAGTCTAGGGCCAACAAGAAGAAGGATGGCAGCTTCCACTAATCCTCTCAGTCCAGGACCTACAACAAGGAGCAGGGCAGCAGCAAACATATCCCCAGGAGGAATTGCAAGAAGGCTTATCGTAGGCTAAGCAATGGCTTTGTTAGTGCAAATGTTATGTGTTGTACTACTGTTATGATCTAGTTAGACTATGGATGCATGTGTTGAACTAATGTATGTGTTAGCAGACCTGTCCCCTTTGTTGTCTTAACTAGTACACTGTTGAGAAATGGTTGTTGAGAAGTGACTAATGTGAATGTGCGTGTTCATGTGTGCTTATATGAAAGGGATCCCTATATTAAATGTCTTCATATGTGTCAAAATGTATGTACGGGAATGTGCTTATATTGCTACTGAAATATATATGTTCATTTATGTTTAAATGTTAGGGCACATATTGCTGTTTATTTGGTTCTCACTAGGGGTATCTGTGTCCAAGTTAACAGCTCTGTGACTTCATTTTAACGGAATGGTACTTTTAGTTCATAGTCCAACCTTTCAGTGGTATTTTACGGAGATCGCGATCTTTCGATGCTACACAACCAATTTTCCCTATATAGTACTATCTTAACAAAATAAGTATGTATAGTATTTTTCACTTATTTGTGGTTCTGCTATTCCTAATTTTAAACCAATTGACGCTTGTGCTTCTATGCATACCCTGTGCTGAGTACTGACATTGCCCACATATTAAGTCAAGATATGTAGGATTTCTTGATTACTCTCTCCCCTTTTTACTTTGGTTTTGCAAACCTGATTTTCTCTGTTGCAAGATTGTTCATTTGTTAATCTTGAATGTGTTGTCTGCAGGAGGAACCAGCTGTGATTGAATCCTACTATAACAAGAGAATAGTTGGCTGTCCTGGTGGCGAAGGAGGTACGTGAAGGCTAACCATATATCTCAGTACCTAGTGTTGACTGTTGAGTATGTAACTCACCATAACTGTGCTTATTTTTCCATTGGACTTATCGCAGAGGATGAACACGATGTTGTCTGGTTTTGGTTGCAAAAGGATAAACCGCACGAGTGCCCAGTCTGCTCACAGTACTGTGGTAATTGAAATCAATGCCTTGACTAATTATAAAAGCTGCTCAACAGTTGTTGATTTTCCTGTTGATTAGCACTGGCTGAAATATTCTTTTGTTGATTTTGTGCAGCTCAAGGTCATTGGTGAAGGGGGTGATCCAGATGACCACGATGATGATGAGGATGATCATCACTGAGGGCTTGTGTCGATAACAATAATAAGAACTTTGTGAAACATGGTTTTGCCCTATCTTTGCAGCATCAGACTGCCCTAATAATGTTGTAATTGATTAGTGTTTGACCATGAAGCAGGCCATGTGGTGTTTTACACCTACAAATTTTGTTCAGATCATTTCGACCATGCAATTGTTTTTGTTTGGAATGTACATTTTTTTCTCTCTGGAGTGCATCATCAAATAAAGGATGAGTTCAGAACATAATGCACAGATTCTATTTTTTTCACTGTATTGACCATCTATTTCGGTGTTATATATTCTGTTCTTGATTGGATGGATACTTACACAGAAACAATAGTCATACATAAGTTCAGAACATAATGCACAGATTCTAAAGTGTCTGTCAACGTCATTTTCATCCAGGTCTTTATCTATATCATAAGTTTGCTGCGCACGAAAATTTACAGCTTGCCCAGGGACCCAGGGTCCACGTATCGCCAACCTATGCCAGCTAGAGTTGGGGAGAGACATTGCAACGGCTTCGGTAGTCAGTTCAGTGGTTCACCCAGGGACAGACTCGAAACAATCAGATTTTGCCTGCAAACCAGGAGACTGCATCAGCAATTCAGCATCATGGAATCGCAAGCATTTCTATCAACGGGAGAAGAACATTCAAGATCACAAGGGAACACTTCAAATGGGTTAGAAAACTAGGGATCACAAGAACTCGAGCATACAAGGAATATAAAAAGTTCACCATCTGAAGGAGACATGATATATTTTGTGGGCCTACCTTCTATCAGTAGGCATGCAAATCAAAAGGTTCTTATCCGCATACAACTTAAAGATCAAATTAATGAAAACCAATCATGTTTATGCACATGCATTCCTCAGGCAAAACATCAATAAACATAGACAGAGAAAGAACCAACAAGCTGACAGTTCTGTGCAGCAAATATTAAATGCTTGACATACTCTGAATAAAGCAATTGCTACATATGTCAAGCGGAGGAGAAGAATACCTGCAAGAATTAATTAATTTTGGGGCTTAAGAAGTACTGTGGATCCCTGAAGAACCTGACAATCCTCTCTGCCTTTTCAGTGGAAAGATCGGTGTTTTCCAGAATGGATTCCTTGGATGCTTTCGCAATTGCTTCGATAGAGCCAATGGCTTGGGCAAGCTTAAGAAAATAAATAAAGACTAGCATCACTCTACTAATCACCATGCCATGGTAAGCATAACATGGAAAAAAATAAATCGAGAACAGGCAACTGGTGTTTAGTGTGAAATTTGACTATTAGCTACTGGAGAGGTGAGAAAAAGATTAGTGCAGGGAAGGTAACAGAACTCAATTTGCAAGATATAGCATGCACTCAATTCTTATTCTGGAATAGTTGCATACAACCAAATGTTTTGCATGTAAAGTTCCAAAATATGTTTAATCACTGATCTTTCCTGAATCTTATACAGATTAAAGGTACTGTGGTTAATTCTTCTCAATTTCCAGAGAAATGTATGCAAATGACAAGGAAAATGATGATACTCGTATCTGCAAACAACGCCTACAAGTAACATGTGTGTCCTCCGTAGAGACAACTTGCAAAGCAGTCAGAACAAACAATCTAGCATTGATATCCAAGTAGCCAAGGGATCACAAAATTACACAAGCTGCAAAAACCAAGTTGAGCAACTCACCGCATTTGCATCATGACTGTCAATACCAGGAATAGAGGTGACCACTCGTAAAAACGCATCCATGCACTGAACAGCTTGCTCACGCTACAGAGACAAGCAAGAGAGTCATTTATCAACAATAGGACCCACTGATAGTATATGAGCATGTATCTGGGAACATAGTAACATACCTCAGTTCTCATAGCTGCGACAATGTCTTTCTGCTTGCACACTGAAGAAAACAGACACGCGATCAGTGCCAGCTCGCGGTTGAGAACTTGAGCATGAGTCAGGAACTTGGTAAATGAAGCAATAGAGGTTTTACCTCCACGAGCATGAGCTATCCTTACAATCTTCTCGAATCCCATCTCTGGATCACAAACAGGCACGAATGTAGGGCAGCCAAGCTCCATGCCATACCTTGAATGAGGACAGCAGGAATAAGAACAACCCAACCAAACCAAACTAGAACAAATGCTTGTTATGTACAACTTAGCATCACAGTATGTCGGCCCATACTTGAAATATGACTGATTGAATGATTCGTTCTGCTCTGCTGAGCGGACGACGACAACGACGTAGAGATACTTGAACTGCCTCTTCAGTGTACTCACCCTGCAAAAGCATTCCAAGTATGACATCACCATCACCATCACCATCACCACGAATGCAGTCATCGGTGCATAACAACAAACATAACACGGGGAAGAGACAAGAGTGTCACCTGCTGAAGACCGCAGCTTGCCTTTCAGGAAGCCAGTCCGTCTCGAAGATGAAAGCAACCGATTGCCCCCATGGCTGAAGATGAAGTCCTGAAACCCAACCCACGCATCCAATCAGAGCCATGCGTATACACGGTTACATACACATACAGCACGGAGAAACCAGTGGCATCTCTGATCGGAGCGCGTACCGGAGAAAGCGCCATGAAATTGAGGCGGTACAGATTGGTTGCGAGGAACGCAGCGACGAAATTGACGAGGTCCGGGCGCTGCTTGTCTCTCCACGAGGCGCTCATGATGCACACTCCTCGGCCTGCACTCGAGTCGACCAGGGGCGGAGGAGGACCCAGCATAGCTGCTAATGCATGTATACGCTTGTGATTAGATCAGATCCGAATGCAGATTGTCAGATAGATAAAGCAAGGGTTCGGGTGCTCGACGGCGGCTTGGCACGGCAGTAATGGAGGGAGGAGAGAGGGATGCGCATACCTGGTGGTGGGTGCTCGTCGCCCGAGAAGGCCTGGCGATGGGCCGGAGACCTGGCGTAGGGGCGGCGGGCGCCCAGTCATCGCCGGGCGGGAGGGGGAGAGGCGGAGAGGGCGCGCGCACGAGGGTGAGCGGGAGAAGAGAAGGCAACGGGGAGCGGAAATTTCGAGTCTGCCTGGTCCTCGACCAAATATATAGGGTTTGTGAGGGCCTCTGGGTTTCAAATAATTAAACCCCAAAGACCTAAAATAATGTGATCAGTAGCGGAGGCGGAGCTAATAACTCAATAGCACTTGTAGGGGTGTTTGGATCCCCACCCGACTTTACCACTTTTTAAATGTGGCAGCCATAGAAAAGATAGCCGTTGTTTGATTCCTACGTCAGCTGAGGTAGCCACACAGCTTTTCAATTCATTCCTTTTGATAATTCATGCTACAGGTGCGGCTGTTTCTTTTCCGCCACAAACTTCGGTGATGCCACAACCTGGTGGGGCTACCAACGGCGGGGAACCAAACAACCCCTATATTTCTTTAGAGTTTGATTGAATTTCAAAATTTACGATATCCAAATCCTCGGACCAATTGATACCCTAATAAGATTTGCACTTGAGCATCTCGAGGGTGCGACACAGCCTCGTCACGACTCACGAGTACACACCACAGACCCTAAATCCTAACGAGAAGGAATGATTAAGAGCAGAATCTTCGAATCAAACAATGGGTGAGACGATGAATGGTATTAGGTGAACGTTGAATCCTCAAATCAAGCCGCCATCATGACGAGAGCCGGCTGGATGCTGATTGCTGAAAGTGAAAAGGGGGCCAAACAATGCAAGAAACAAGGGGCGCGCGTGCTGCTTAGCCTAGACCGTCGGTGGAGAGTGTCAGCTATGCGAGCCGTATGCTCTGGTCGATCCATTGCTTCCGTTCCGAACCACCCACCCAGCAGGGTCCAGGGCTAGAACTAGAATCGAGCAGAGGATCCATCCGGCATGCGCGGTCCCGTCTCCCGTCACTGCCTCACAGGGATTCCCTTCTGAATGAACCTTGACGAAGCTCTGGCCGTGCCAGCTGTCTCCTGTCTGACAGGTGGCACGTACGTGCCGCAGTGCTGTCTCCGGCCGGCGACCACGGCGCCGGCTGCCGTTCACATCACATCCGCCGGTCTCCCTCTGTCCTCTTCAAATTTGTCCGTTTGTTTGTTTTGGCTAGAAACTTGGAGTAGTCGTTGTCTAGTTTATCCCACAGAGTTTACTATCAATCTCATGGAATGTGGATTTATGCACGAAGTATTAAATAAAGACTAAAAAATAATTAATTATACATATTACGACTAATTTCGTAGACGAATTTTTTTAAGCCTAATTCGCTCATGATTTGACAAGGTGGTGCTACAGTAACATGCGATAATGACGGATCAATTAGGCTTAATAAATTTGTCTCACGAATTAATAAGAACTTCTATAATTTATTTTATTATTACTTTTCAAACATTTCCACGTGACATTGCGACGTGACACGGCGTCGGCGGCGTCCATCCAGGGCGAGGCCGTAGGCCGTAGCGTGCGCCGCGAGCCCGCGACCCCTACTCGACTCCCGGTGCTGCTCGGCCGCCTCGGCTGGAACTGGAAGTGGAACGCGTCCCATTCCCATCCCAAGCACCTGGATACTATCGCAGTCTGCTTCCAAGATGGACGGATTCCCATGATTGCCAATTTGCCAGGTGGAGGCCGCCAATCCGCCATGGTGACACAGCACACAGGAGCCCTGCTCGGCGTCGCTGTTGTCACTTGTCACAGCTCACACTCTCACAAGGCCGGCCGGCCGCGACACGCCGGGCCCGGGCATCGATCCATTGCTTCCGCCCCACGGCTGGGCTGGCAAGCAGAGTACTGTACGTACGTACCGAGCCACCGCCACCGCTTGCGCTTGCGCTTGGCAGGGGAGGGAGGGGAGGGGGCGTTCCTGCTGTACGATCGATCGGCATCGGCGGCTGTTCCCTTCTTCAGATTGCATCGCAGCAGCGCTGCTTTTATGACTGCATCCGGCGCCCCTACCACCATTCCAGCTCCACCCACCCACCCAACCGCCGTTGCCGGTCAGCCTGAAAGCGCCGCTGAACGATCTGCTGCATCTGCTATTCCAATTCTGCATGCGCACATTCTCCTGCACCCGAGTTGCCGAAAATTTTGGCAAAACGACACTGTAGCATTTTTCGTTGTTATTTAGCAATTAGTGTTCAATCATAGTCTAATTAGGCTTAAAAGATTCGTCTCGTGGATTTCGTTTAAACTGTGTAATTAATTTTATTTTTTATTTATATTTAATGCTTCATGCATATGTTTAAAGATTTGATGTGACGAAGAATTTTAAAAAAATTAACGTTTTGGAGAGGAATTAAACAGGCCCCAAGTGCTGTGCACAGGAGACGCGAGATAGCTGTAGCTGACACAACCGCGTCAGGCCAGCTTGGGCGGCTACCAATCCGCCCGGGCCCCCACACGAGCCAGAGCCAGAGCCAGAACCAGAACCACCTCTCCCTCCCGCGCCCGCCAGTCCGCCACGCATACATAAAAAGCCAACCAACCCTGCTCACCTCTGCTCTGCTCTGCTCCGCTCCGATGACAACAACGGCCGGCTCCAGCGCCCCGTAGACCCGTAGCGTGCCACTCAGCCACTCTCCTCTCCGGCTCTCCCTCTCCCACCCATCCAAATGGGCCGCCGCGCGCTGCTGCTGGCGCTGTCCCTCTCCCTCTCCCTCTCCCTGGTCGCCGCAGACCCGCCGGAGCGGGAGCGGTCGGCGCTGCAGGCGTTCCAATCAGGGACGCCGCACGAGCGTCCACTGCAGTGGAACACCTCCCTCCCCACCTGCTCCTGGACGGGCGTCCGCTGCGACGTTTCCAACTCCACGGTGACGGGCTCCACCTCCCGGGCGTGGGCCTCGTCGGCGTCGTCCCCAACGGCACGCTCGCCCAGCTCCAGAACCTGCAGGTCCTGTCGCTGCGCGACAACCGCCTCGCCGGCCCCGTCCCGCCCGACGTGCTCGCGCTCCCGCGCCTCCGCGCGCTCTACCTCCAGGGCAACCTGCTGTCGGGCGCCGTCCCGCCGGGGCTCGCCGCGGGGATGCTGCCCGCGCTCCAGCACCTTGCGCTCTCGCGCAACCAACTCTCGGGACCCGTTCCGGACAAGCTGCTCGTGGGGATGCCCCGGCTACGATCGCTCATGCTCGACGGGAACCGACTCTCCGGGGGCCTGCCTGCTGGGAGCGTCGGCGGCGGCGCCGGCGCCAGGCTGGAGGTGTTTAATGTCTCGTTTAACGACCTCGACGGACCCATCCCCGCCTCCCTCGCACGGTTCCCGCCGGAGTCGTTCGCCGGCAACCCCGGCCTCTGCGGCGCGCCGCTCGTCGACCGCCCGTGCCCCTCGCCGTCCCCGCCGCCCGGCGGTGTCCCGGCGCCGGGGAAGGAGACGAAGAAACGGAAGCTTTCCGGCGCGGCGATCGTGGCCATCGCGGTGGGGTGCGGCGCGGCGGCGCTGCTGGCGCTCCTCCTCCTGGCCCTGTGCGCGGCGCACCGGCACCGTCGACACTCGGAGGCGGCGTCGGCGGACGCGAAGGCGACGCCGCCCACGCGCGGGCTGACCCCGTCGACGCCGTCGGGGGACCTGACCGGCGGCGACTTCACGTCCTCCTCCAAGGACATCAGCGCTGCGGCGGCCGCGGGGGCCAGCGGGTGCGCGGAGCGTGGGCGGCTGGTGTTCGTGGGGAAGCAGGGGCCGGGCCACCTCCGGTACAGCTTCGACCTGGAGGACCTGCTGCGCGCGTCGGCGGAGGTGCTGGGCAAGGGCGGCCTGGGCACGTCGTACAAGGCGGTGCTGGAGGAGGGGACCACCGTGGTGGTCAAGCGCCTGCGGGACGTGGCGGCGGCGCGGCGCGAGTTCGCCGCCTGCGTCGAGGCCGCGGCGGCCGAGCATCGGAACCTGGTGCCGTTGCGTGGGTACTACTACTCCAAGGACGAGAAGCTGCTCGTCCTCGATTACCTCCCCGGTGGCAGCCTCTCCGCCCGCCTCCACGGTGAGCTTTCATCCATCTCAGCAAACTAGCTCCAGCCATGCATGATTCCTTCATTGCATTGCCAGTCAGCCGCAATGGCAGGCAGGCAGGCAGGCAAGGCATTGCTCTGGGCGAGTAGGAGCGCTTGCTGCTGTTACGTGGTAGCTGGTGGGAGTAGCTGCTGGCTTGGGACGATGAATATTGCCGGCATTTCCGCCGACAGACGCGTATTGCCGGCACATTTTGCCCGCAACCGATACAGACATAAACGTACAGTGGTACTAGTACTGTAGCTTGTAGTACGGAGGACACAGCACTCTTGTTTGTCTGCTGCTGCTTGGATGGAGCACGAATTTGTTTGCTCCATCTGCACGCAACGCGCAGTGCACAGGTACGGTTGTAGTACTGGTCTGGTAACACGTATTCACGATAATATTAACAAATTAGTCAAACAATATTTAAATTTATTTTTTTCAGCAAACGAAAACGAACAGGGCCACTGCACAGTCCGATCCTCCTTCCGATCCAGGCACGTCATTACGTACTTCCGACATGCACCAGCCTGTATGTACTACGTCTACTACTGTACAGTATGCTAGCAGCTACTAGCTCTCAGCTCCTACTTACCTACAGTACCATGGAGTGTAGTTGTATATCACTGTAACATCAAGGATATATATGGCCATCCACTTCCAACTTCGGACTCCCAAGCAATAATACTGGCCTCAACAACTCTGAGGATTACCATACCACACAAGGTTCAGGTTGGAACAGGAATATACTCCTACTGGCCTTCACTTCACCATCTATCCATGTCTACTAGTACTAGTACATTGCATAAGGGTTTACGACCAGATCATTTGAACTTATTAGTCGACTTATCAACTAGAATATACAGTATTTTTCTCTCATAATAAAGTACTGATACGATCATATTACGATCGTGAATTATTACTATTGGCTGGTTTGGCGTGAGAGAAAAATACTGTTATGACTTATAATTCTAGATTGTTTACGACAAGCGAACGGCCTGTCAGGTTCAGCCGGCTTTAATGCTCGTGTCTAGAGAACTGTCCAAGTCACTGGCGCTGATCGAGTGGTGTGGCGCCTGCTCGTTCTGGCAGGGCCTTTGTTTCGTCTCGTTTGGTTCCAATCATTCAAGCAACTTGTGGTCAGTTAGCAGTAACGCATTAGGCCGCTAGCTATGCTCTCCAACTCCATCAGCCTTTTCCGTCAGCTGATGTTCCAATCCTGGGAAAGGGACTGGGTGGGAGCATTTTTTTTTCCAATTATTCCTTATGGCTAGTTAAGGGTCTGTTTGGTTCCTTCTCTTTCTCCTAAAATTTCTGTCACATCAAATGTTTGATATATGCATGGAGTATTAAATATAAACTAATTATGAAACTAATTGCACAATTTACGACTAATTTGCGAAATGAATCTTTTAAACCTAATTAGTCCATGATTTGACAACGTGTTGCTACAGTAAACATGTGCTAATGATAGATTAATTAGGCTTAAAAATTCGTCTCGGAAATTAACCTCCATCTATGTAATTGGTTTATAATTAATTTATATTTAATGCTCTTTATTAATCTCTAAACATTTAATGTGATATAAATTTTAGAAACGACTAAAGAACCCAACACCAAAGAACCAAACACCCCTAAGTAGGTTACTGCCAATCATCTGACAGTGACTGAAAATCTGGAATTTATGGTTCCGTAGCCATCGCTTATCCGGCGATAGCGTCCTCGGCTTTGAATTCTTGTGGCCAATTGACCATGTGCAATGCCTTCGCTTTGTCAGTTATGTGTAGCAGAACAGAATGCAGCACCACACCAGCTGGCAGCCGCCATTCAGAAACGAACTGGTCCTTGCTGCCTGGCTAACCCTGCATTTCCAAAGCCAGCCTGTGAACTGTGATTGCTCGATCAGTGTCTGAAAACTCTGGCCGTGCAAAGTATGTGGTGGCGACAAGCCGAGGTTTTGCGTCTTGTTCGCTTAGCTAATAAACCGTATTTTTTTAACTAATAAATAATATTTTTTTTACAATAAATCAGTCAACAGTATTTTCAGCCATAACTTATCAGCCAAACGAACATGACTTTGTTTCGTCGTTAACGTCAGATGCGCTGTCATGTCGTACGTGTGCTATGCTAGCTAATAAGACCTTGTTTAGATTGCAAGTTTTTTCACTTTCTTTCCATCACATTAAATCTTTGGACACATGCATAGAATATTAAATGTAGATAAAAAATAATTAATTACATAGTTTAATTGTAAATTACGAGACGAATCTTTTGAGCCTAGTTAGGTTATGATTGGACAATAATTATCAAATACAAACGAAAATGCTATAGACCCAATACTGATTTCTAACCCCAATATAAACCAGGCCTAAGTGCCAATGCCTTCCAATCATCCGGCCGGTATGTTTTTCCCCCTCTGTTTGCTGGTCTATCATTCTGCATTATTCGAGGTGATTCATGGAGTTGGTAGCACCAGCGATCACAGCAGCAGTGTGCTATCCTGCATCGCTGCTTCCTGGTGCATTTGTCGTTCATCTTTGATATCTTTTTCTGCTCTGCCAACTACCGCAACAGCTTTGTTCTCTTCCTTGATCATTTCGCTCCCCGAATGCATTTCAAAAGGAGTAGGGTAGGGTACTGTGCGTGCATCACTGGTGATGACTGCATGGACAGTGACTAGCTCATGTAAAATACTAGTACACTGTATCCAGTCAGAGGATTTTTTTTATTCGTAGAACATGTTCATGCTTCATGGTTTGTCTTACCTTATTCATCAGTACTGTTATCTATCACTCCTATAAACTATTTAACCATTCATGATTCACCTCAAATAGTGACAGGAACAAAGTCTGAATTTTTGATGCATGATTAGTACACCGCTTATGGATTGGAGTCTGAATTTCTCTGAATTTTTGTTGCATGATAGTTAGTATACCATTTATTTATCGGCGCGTCGGAGATGCTAATTAATAACACGCCGCGATTTTTGGACCGCAGGGAGCCGCGGCACCGGGCGGACGCCCATGGACTGGGAGGCGCGGACGCGTGCCGCGCTGTGCGCCGCGCGGGGCGTGGCGCACCTGCACGCGGCGCACGGCCTGGCGCACGGCGACATCAAGTCGTCCAACCTGCTGCTGCGCCCGGACCCCGACGCGGCCGCGCTGTCCGACTACTGCCTGCACCAGCTGTTCCCGCCGGCGCCCGCGCGCCCCGGAAGCGGGGCCGGGGCCGGCGGGGGCGGGTACCGCGCGCCGGAGCTGGTGGACGCGCGCCGCCCGACGTTGGCGTCCGACGTGTACGCGCTCGGCGTGCTGCTCCTGGAGCTCCTGACGGGCAGGTCCCCCGCGCACCACGCGGCGTCCGGGTCCCTGGACGGCTCCGGCAGCGGAGCACTGGACCTCCCGCGGTGGGTGCAGTCGGTGGTGCGCGAGGAGTGGACGGCCGAGGTGTTCGACGCGGAGCTGGTGCGGGCGGGCAGCGGCGCCGCGGAGGAGGAGATGGTGGCGCTGCTGCAGGTGGCCATGGCGTGCGTGTCCACCGCGCCCGACGCGCGGCCCGGCGCACAGGACGTCGTCAGGATGGTCGAGGAGGTAATCGGCGGCGGGCGCACGACCACGGAGGAGAGCGACGGGACCAGGGGCGCGTCGGAGGAGGAACGGTCCAGAGGCCCGACGCCATGACGCCGCCGCCGCCGCCGGTGCAACGCGACGCGCACTCGTGGCAAAATTGTTTCCTTTTGCTCGAATTTTAGCGTTACTTTCGTTGTCTAGTTGGTATATCTGACTCGCCCTGGCATTTTATTTATCGAAAAAAAAAGAAAAAACTCAGCCTGGCAGCGCCTCAGTCTCAGGCAGCCATTGTTAATTTGTTATGTCAATCGAATAATATATGCATTCTCACTCCAATTGTATTGTTATGGCTGTCATTTGGATGCTCTTAAATAAATACAGTATACTCGAAAGAATGTCCGCGGTGGGCGCGAATTACACTGGCCACGACATGGGCATCACCCTGCCGTAACCTGCGCTCACGGGCTAGCCCTCTACGGTATGCGAGCGGAAGAGGAGGGGGTGAGGCCCTGGCCTTGCTGGGATGCAGCACCCGGCGGCAGAAGCGCCGGCATGGCGCCCCCTCCCCGCGCGACGTGTCCACGGAGACGGCACAGGCGCGTTGGTACACGCGGGCCCTGGCCATGCGCTGTCAGCAAGGCCGCTCTGCGGCGTGCGAGCGGAAGAGGAGGGGGTGCGTCCGCGCCTTCATCTTCGTCGAACCGCCACCCTTCCTTGGATCCTGGTTCGTGCAGACGGCGCAGGCGCGTACGATCCGTGGGCCCTGGCCGCACACCGCGATGGGCGCCTGCCGACAGCGGGTTCCTGTTCCAGTGAGGCGTCATCGAGCGCGCGGAGGCGATGGACCACCTGGGCACGGACGCGTACCTAGTGAGCTCGGATGCCGCGGCCATGGCGGCGACCGCCGACTCGCTGGACTACGTCATCGACACGATGCCCGTGCACCACCCGACGGCACCCTTCTTGGCGCAGCTGAAGCTGGGTGGCAAGCACGTGCTTCTAGGACGCCCGCCATCAGCTGGTCTCTGGCGCGCAGCGTCCCGTCACAACCGCCTGGAGGTTGGCTCCGGCGCGTCTACAAAGGCTCCGGCGCCACTGGTCAACTCCGGCGTCGACACGTCGTCTTCAGGTTTGGCTTGGCGTGGTGCGCTCAGGATGGTCTTCTGTAGGCATTTGGAATATGGGTGAAAACCCTGCCTGGCTGTTGCTTCAGGCTGGCGTCCATGGCGCAAATAGCGTCATATTCCTCGCTAGAGGCGTCGCTGTAGTTTCCACTTCCCTCCTTCGCGAAGGCCATTCTGGGCTTGACGCATCCGTTGGGCAGGTCTCGGGGCGAAAGCCCTTACGAGCCTGGTGTTTCGGCCATCGATGATGGCGTCCGAGGACGTCATTTTGCTTCTCGAAGGCATCAACACAAAGCACGCTTGTTTCATGGCCGCGCGCGGCACAACCTTGTCCTCTCTCTGGTTGCTCTCCCACCTATCTTCTTGTCGATCTGACTACCCCTACCCCTTGGTGTCTGCAAACACTGCTTGTTGTCAGGTGCTCACCATCAACGACTTGCTATGTCGTCCTCTAGATCACCTGAGTGCTCCGCCTCATTATATGATGGGTTGCGGAGACCTTGATCTCTTCTCTGGATCTCCTCGTTCTCCTCCTGGCGGTCCTTCCCTTTGAGGCTTCCTTCCCTCAAATGGCGTTGGTGGGTGTCGGTTGGAGCCTAGATGCGCTTCTAGGCGATGCTACTCACTGCTGCTGTCTGTTGGTTCCGACTCAACGCCTCATAGCCTCCTGGTTGTCGTTTGTTGGATCCAATTCAGTACCTTACAGCTGCATGTGGGCTAGGGTTATTCGGAATACGTCATTGGTGATGGCACAGGTTAGCAAGTAGTGATTGCACCCACTTCGGTCAGTAGGCAGAGCTGGTAGCTAAATCATGTTGTTAGTGTTGATGTCGTTGTTCTCTCCGCTCCTCTTTGTACTCCGTTGGACCTCTCATGGGTCACCCATGTACTAGGTGCTATGTACCCTTCCACCCACTAGCTTGAAAGGATCTGTGGATTGAAATTAGGCGGGGATCGGTTTGATCCCCTAGTTGACCTTAAAAAAAAGTAATAATGTAGAATAAGAACAAAGTTAAAATAACGATAACAAAAAACAACTCCCCAACCTATAGCAACCCCGGCTGCCTAGAGCACAAAACACACACTGCACCGTTTCCAAGCCACCACCATTTTTTTAAGAACGTGTCCGTTAACACGTGTTTTATTAAGAGGAGAAAACAATACAAGGAGCTAGACATCTAGATGAGGGGAGCAGTGGAGCGAGGTGTCGGTGTGCCGCGTAGAGGACGACGCAACCACCAGGAACACAACTAGCCCAGAATTCTAACACACGCTGCATTGGTACACACTTGCACGACAGGAGCGATGATCTTAAGCCCTCAATAAACTGAGGAGCACCATCGCTTTTTTTGGGGAAACCCGCCATGATCCACACGTTTCCTTCGGCCAAAATGCCTGAGCAGATTTGCGCCGGCGGTCACCATCGGTTTTTTTTGGAGAAACCCGCCGTGATCCACACGTTTCCTTCGGCCAAAATGCCTGCACAGATTTGCGCCGGCGGTCGTGCAGAACTCTACAGTTCCTCTCCTTCCAAATGGGCCATGAGATGAGCAAGAGGATTGAGGATAGAGTTGAATCTTAAGCAGTCAAGCCACCACCATCGACAACCTTGTGGGGGGGGGTTTGGATGGGGTTCTTGTAAGCTAATGTACACCATAGAAGCGCTCCCACTCTATTCAGAGGCCACAACATATACTTTTAAAATAGTTGCCGAAACAACATGAGAATTTATGAAATAGGCTACATAGGCCCCGTTCGTTTCGCTGAAAAAACAAGCCGAAACACTGTTCCGGCTGATTTGTTGTGAGGAAAAAACACTCCTCTGGCTGAAAAAGACGGATTATAAGAGAAGCGAACAGAGCCATAGATGCCATGCACGTGCGCCCTAGAGATTTCAATGGGCTAAAATTGAATACAACTATCCTATACATGAATCAACAGAAGTTGTTGCAATGATTTACATCATTGTCTCTATGTCTAATAACACTCCTCAACTACAACTTATATAAATTGAGATTGCGTTTAATTTAAACACTTTCAAGCTGCTGAGATCACAAATTAAAGGTTTTGTGAACCCGGTCACTAATAGGTATGAATAATTGAACCTCCATGAAATTGAACCTATACGTGCTTAGTCCTTGCATTAAACACAAGATTAACTGAAAGATAAGATGCTGTGTGCAGTGCTATCACACCACAATCTTCCATCCTTTGGACTCTTAACTAGTTAACTTCTTAAAACCTATCTCAAGCAAGCATTTTTTTAGTTGCATTGACCATTGACTTATACTCCATTTGAGCCATTAGTGCCTGATCTTGAAAAACATAGCTTTTTCTTGGTTGCACTCTTGGACACAGGATTCGATCCCCAAGCAAATATTTATGGGTAATGCGGTACTCCATTGATTTCCAAATCTACTCTTCACGGGAGAGATAAAATCAGACGCACAGCCCTTCCTTGTCGAACGTTTCTTTCGGTGCATGCATCATTTGGGAATATCGTTTGCATGTGGAAACAAAAAGTCACGCATAAAAAAATATCAGCACTTTGTGGTAATAAAATTATATCACTTGCATTTATTTGGAAACAAAAAGTCACGCATAAAAAAGATCAGCACTAGTATATGGTAATAAAAATTATGTCAAAGTTTTTTTTTTAAAGATCCGGTTGCCCGGCATATCATTGACTAAGAAGAGAGTTTTCGGGGGCCAGGTGACCCAACTTACAAGCGCGAAAAGGCGCTACCACTCACAGCAGACCGCTGTAGTGGTCAGGGGCGGATCCAACGGGGTGGAGCCCCATGAATTTTTAGGCAAAGTTTTATAGTGTAGGTGGGGCTGAGATTTAAGATCGAGCAGAAGTCGGAGGTATGTGTTGTTCAGCCCCCCTAAATTTTTTCCTGGATCCGCCGCTGGTAGTGGTTGAGAGTTCTAAAGTTAATTACTCAAAAGCAAATCACGATCTAAAAGGGGCCTAAGAAGTCTTCCACCAGCCATGGACCAAAGAGAGCAGACATCCTTGACTTCCATGGATACTGCATGTGCCGTGCGTCTTGAGCCTCTGAATACAACTACATTACGTTGTTTCCAGATACACCACAAGGTGAGGATGGCCAGGGTGTGCGCAGCCTTGGTGCCTTCTCTGGTCACAGCCATGAACCAACCCTCACAATCTGACCCATCCGTCCATTGCGTCGGCCGCAAATTTTGGCAGCCGCACCACGATGCAACTTGACTCCATACCTGACGGGAGAAGGGGCATTCAAAGAATAGGTCGGTAGCAGTTTCCAAACTTCGTTCACATAGAGCACAGAAATTATGTCAAAGTTTTACAAAATAAAAAGATTTACCACATTTAATTTCCTTGTACCAGCATTTTAAAATGTGACCATTGTACTTTAATTCAAAATTCCATTTCAGAAATACAATTACAACTGCACAAACGGAAAAGAAAAGGAAAAGAAAAATACAGCAAAAACATCAAAAGCTGCATGTTGCATAGTCAAATCCTAAACATCCCGCGCCATAGATCAGATCGAAATTTTCAAGGTCAAATTCTAATTCTTGGAACGCTTTAACTTCCTTCTACCAGCTTTTAAAATGTGATCATCACTGAACGATAATACAAAATTGAAAATTTTATTTCAGAATTACTACTACGGCTACGTAAAAGGAAAGGAAACAGTCAAATGCCGAATATCCGCGCCCTTCCCGATAGATTAGATCAGATCACCTCGCTTCCACCCCGCCATTCACCGTGACCATTTCTTCTTCTCCTTAAACCCTCCACAGCTCCACATCCATCGGGCCGCTTCTGTACGTAGTACAACTAGTTCCAATCCTATCGCCAAGCATGGCGGCGGGCTACGCGAGGAGCTCCTGGACAGGGTGTCTGACCTGGTGGCGGAGTGCACCCGGCGCGTGTCGCGCGGCGCCTCCTCCGACGCCACCACGGCGCCGGTGGGCAGAGGAGGAGGAACCACCAGA